GTGTGGGGAATAATTTTTTATACCATGTCTAAAGACTAGAATAGAAAATAGAGAGTCCTAAATTATGGTAGCTTATTTTTTATTTTAACCCTCATCCTGAATGTTAGAGGAAAATACTACGATGTTGTTGGGCAATTAAAAAAGATAGGGAAAAATACATTGCTTTGGATAAATTCTGTAAACTTGAATATCACATGTAAATGCTTTTTCTCTCCTCACTGTTACTTCAATGGTGTAATGGGCTTAACTTTAAATACAGTTTTATAGTCAACAAAATAGAATTTTTTACAACTTCCAAATTCTCTGCCCATTTAAAATGTTCTACTATATTAACTCAAGGTAATAAGGATTTATAATTTTAAATCCTGTGGAAGATAACAATTCAAATCACCATGCTGTGGTATTGATGTTTAGGAGGCTTATTCAAACCAGTATTTCTTACATATAATGATTGTGCGACTTCATTACACATTTGTCAACTTTGGACTAATTATTTTTATACAGCTAGGGCAGGGCACTGCATCTTGTGATCGTCTTTCTTACTAATAGGATTCTGTCTGCTTCAGCAGGCAGTAATTGAAGGCTTCATGTACAGAGTAGGAAAAAAAAAAAGTTTTAGCCTGAGTGGGCCATTGTCACAGCTTCTGGTAACCAGTAGAACAGAAAGCACAAGAAAATTGAACTCAGAATAGAAAAATCAGAAACCAGGAAGACTATCCAAGAGAAGAAAAAGCATGTCTTAGAGCTGTTGCATTAGTATAGCAAATCTGTTTCCATGTAAAAAAAATTTATGTTTGTGACTACCCTGGAGATTGATGCAGCCTCTCAGATAAATATTTTTAGATTCCTCTTATATTATTAGCAATTCTAATTGTTAGAACAATTGAGTTATAAGATTTCTTTCCTTCTAACAAAGAACATTTATGGTTCATAGCCAATTTGTCACAAATCTTTAAAAAGTATGGTTTAAGTACATGAGGGAATAAATCTATGTATTATAGATAATATATTTATTCAATTTTATTGTTGCTATTTGATCTGTTTTTATAATTTGACAACAGTTAAAACAAAATAACTTTTTAAGAAAAGTGAAACATTTCTTCATTTACTTTTGGCAACCAGCTTATTTTGTCTTTTTCTTAAATCTTAAGAATTCTTATAGGCTTCAAAGATTAAATGTCAATTGCTAGAGATAATAGACAAAGAGACATTTAGTAAGATGAAATACAGATATATCCAAACAGTTTTACCTTCTCAGTTGGTGATTACAAACAGCAAGTGCTTGGTGGGAGAATGAAATGAAAAATTATGAAAAATATCTAGATGGTATCCTTTTAATAACATGGAGCCCGTCGTACATAGGCAATACATCTTTAACTGTCATGCCACTTATTTGTTCTCATTTGCAGTGTTCCTGGTTTTCCAGGTTGATTGGTCTCCCAGTAGCCCCTCCCTGTGTTACAGCTCCATTCAAAAAGGTTTCGTATTTTTCATTGCTAGTGTCTCTTCAGGGAGTAGCAGGTAGGGGATATTTAACATGTTTTAAATCTTTAAAGGCAGAAGTGTAAAATATGACAGAGAAAGTCAGGACGCTTTGAATTACAGAATACTGCAAGGCCAAGTACACCATTTTAAGAAGGAAAAATCTTCCTCCTTCAAAGTTTTTGGAACAATCATAGATTATATGCATATTAGATAAATAGGGAAAACCTTAATTTTTCTGTTGACTGGTAAAAACAAATTATTAAGGGTACATTTTTGTATATATTAAGAGAATGTTTGTGACTTGGAATCAGAATGCTTGGGTTCAAATTTCTGCTCAACCATTCACTAGCTGCGTGTCCCTGAGCAAATTCTTTGACTTCTGTGAGCCTCCGTTTCCTCATCTATAAAGTGACCTGCCTCACAGGCTTAAATGAAACAATGCAAGTGAAGTACTTAGAACCCATTGCCAGACACACAGTAAGCACTTAATAAATGATAGCTACTGTCATCATTACGGTGATCAAAAACTTCTCATGCCTTCTGAAAAATTTTTGTCATGGTGTCATCTTAGTTTGAGGCTAAGTATAGAGGTTCTCGATGTCAGCCATTAAGTTTTATATATAAGCTGACTTTATAATCAATGTTTCTGACATCCAAAATCTAGCTATTTATTATTTATTAACTAGCACTCTTTCCATAACCATCTTTTAAATGTATGTTAGAGCATAGCTTGTTCAGGAGTTAAATGATTAATAAATTGTGGAGGATGGCTTTTGCCTTCCATGGGCCAAAACAAACCAAATTGCGATCCTGCTGTGTTCCAATTAAATATATCCTTTCTGAACTGTGAAATGAGAGTGTCAGAACATCTGATCTTCTAGTCTTCTGGCTTTAAAACATTGCTTCTGCCATTTGTGGCCACTACAACATACAGACCTAGTTAATAAAGGCAGTAGCTTTTACACCAGCTAACAGATTTTGTTGCTAGGATGATTTTGCTTAGCATGTTTCCACTGCAGTGTAAGCAAATGCCTCTTTTCTTTCATGCCTCTATGCTTTATAGTACTGAGAATTTTGTGGTAATAGGATTTCAAAAACCTGTACAGGATACCAATTTTAATCTCCGTAAACATACTGACACCAAAATTGGCATTTGTCTCTGCCAAGTTTGTATTAATTGTAACATTGACTCTAAGTTTTTTTTAATAGAAAAGAGATAAAATGTACCTTGGGGCTGTGCAACCCTGAAATTCAAACAACAGTGCTTTTGTGTTCCTATTCAGACATAATCTCCTTCTCTATGGTCCCAAGGCACAAGTGTTAAGTAAATAAAGGGACTAACTAATAAGACTATTGTTTACATAATTATAACCCTGTCAGAAATAGGGACCTCTGTTGAAATATTTGTTGAATGAATTACAGACATGATGACCAAATTTGTGGGAAAAGTTGCATAAATGAATGGGGAAATAGAGCTACCTTGTATTCTTTGGGGACATGGTTTAACAGAAATATAGAAACAGCATTCTCCTATGAAGAGAAGGGCCTTAAAAATTTAGACAAAAGGAATGCATAAACCTGTGAGGAGCTATAGAAAGAGAGAACACACTTGGGGGCTGGTGATCTTTGTGTTCTCTCAAAGATGAAATTGAGGTACCTAGTTCCTGATCCCTTGTGTACACGTCTAAAAAGCAGATGGATGTGTATGTTACGAGGTTTATAAAAACCTCTTTAAAAACATTTGTATGATTTATATTCCTAAACTGGCTACCTATAATTACTTCTCTCAGTAGGAAAACTGCTCTGTCAGATTCCTTGCAAGTTTTCAGCTTGTTGGTAGAGTACACAAATAAATGACTAGGAATGTTTCTAATATATTTTGTCAGCAACTCATTAGCTAACATTTTAAAACACAAATTCAAAGTGTTGATAATATTTTCAATTTGGTAAAATTAGCATATTTTTTTGCTTTTGATGCATTATTCTAATTATTATAGGGAAACCGATTTTCTTGATTTTATTTAGGCCAAAAATGGCTTGTTTGGTTTCAGAAAAATACATCTAATGTGTCATGAGATCTTGATGTCATTTTTTAAAAACTCAAAAAAGAAATTACTTTTCATTTAAAGAGAATCTGCTTCCTGCTTAAGTGGCTAATATTTTAATTAAGTCGGGAGTGAAGTTTTTCTGAGTGTCTCCTGATAAACTCCCTCTTTTATGTTGATGGTAATTAAACAGATCCCTGAGGACGCCGTGGGCTCTGTGCAAGGCCCATGCTAATTGTCAGACATGAGACACTGACCAGTTGGTTTGCTCTTGAATAGTCCGCAGCGTGCTGTCAGCACGGCAGTTTTATTTTTATGTATTGTGAGCTGTTGTCAGGGCTAACTGGGTGCCATTGTGGCTGAAGATGTTGCGCAAATTGAGGCAGATGGCTCAGATTCAGACACGTGTCATACAGAAAGGGGAAAGGGGATTGGCCCTGCAAAGTGGGGTCACAGCAGGTCGCAGACCTGCTCTACACTTGTTAGTGTTTTCAAAAGCTCATGTGCAGCAACTTTGTTTTTCTCCAGTCATCCCTGCAATCAAACCCCCTCCCCCCAAAAATGTGTGGAACATGCTCCATGTGGAAAATGGAGGCTTGGGAGGTTCCCGTCCTCTTCCTTCACATCTCTTGGGCTCAACTGTGCATGCAGAATGAATTAGCGGGATTGACAGAAGTTCATTGTGCCTCCAACGGCTTTTCAGTCAATTGCAGTGCTTAAAAGGCTAGTTTTGCTTTTAATTCCATGTAATTAGTAGGTTCTCCATGTCTTGGAATTTAGTTATAGAGCATTAGATCTCAAGTTTCCTCTATTATATTCTAAAGAAAAAAAGGATCTAATATTCTAAACATTAAAAAAAAAAGGGAAATGTGAGGTTGCACTTAGATGTCACGTGATTTTGTTTCATGTCATCATTAACATTAGAGATTGAATTTGAATATTTTTACATGAGTGAATTCATTGAAACTTAGTAAGAATTTTATAATGTACATAAAATTATCTAACTTCTTGCATAATCATTTTCAGATTTGAGGAATTAAAATTTCAAGCTCTTTGAGAAAGGTACCTTTTCTTAACATGTTTTAAAGATAAAAATACAGTGGCTTATTTTAAATGGCCTTATGCATGGTGAAATGTTAAATATCAAATCAATGAATGATTCTCAAATATGTCATAATGGAGAATTATTCACATGCATCTATTGTTCAAACTAATAAATAAAATAGAATTCCTTTTCCCGTTTTGTTTTAAAGATGCACTAAAATCACCTGCTTGTGGTAAGCATGGGCTGGGCAGTTTATTGATTTTTCAAAAGAATGCTTGGCTTTTGGTTTTTGGCAGTAGGGAACCTGTAGTAAATTATTTCATTTGAGAAAAAAGAGTTATTTTAAAGCTATTTGAATTTATGCTGTCTCCTCTTTTTTCTCCCCCTTCTCATGATAAAAGGTCTCTCTCGTTTTTTTCTTCCAGATTTGCAGCTAAAACTGTGCACAGTGGGTCATTGATGCTAGTCACAGTGGAACTGAAGGAAGGCTCTACAGCCCAGCTTATCATAAACACTGAGAAGACTGTGATTGGTTCTGTTCTGCTGCGGGAACTGAAGCCTGTCCTGTCCCAGGGGTAACCTGCTTGCATCTGGACTTCAGAATCTGGCACATAACAAAAGTGCCTGGCATCCACTACTGCTGCCTTTCATTTATAATAATAGCCCTTCCATCTGGCGGTGGGGGAAGAATACACTCTTGACATTCTTGTCTCCTGCTTTAGAATGCTAGTGTGTATCTATCATGTATGCAATACTTTCCCCCTTTTCGCTTTGCTAACCAAAGAACATATATTTTACTGTCAGTTATCTCAACTCTCGAATCCATGTGGCATTTTCGCTGTCCTGCTACTTCTTTTGGCCTCCTTGTCTTCCTTCTCTCTTTCAGCAATGATGGACACAAATCGAATATTTAAAGTTCATTGGAAATCATCTTCCCTTCAGCAATAAGCAAAAATTAGCAAGGAAATAGTCTAAATGCCCTCTCAGCTTGGTATGTGAAAATGCAATAGCATACTTTTGAGAATAAATGCAAAAACATGGTCTCTGCAAAATATTGTTCTTTGAATTTCCTGGTCTTGTAATTGGTAATTGACCACTGTCATCATGAAATTATCTCGAGTAATAAGATAAATAAACTAGCATATGAATAGCATTTGTCTTTGCATTTTTAATGAGAAACTATTTATAATCCTAAAGTTTATATGCTAATGTTTCTTTATTCTAAAGTAAATAGTTTGAGTGTTATATTACACAGAGAAGCACTGGGGTTTAGTTAGTAAAAGAAAAACCACTTTTGAACCAAATTGTGTTATAGAGAAGTTAACTCTAAAGGAAAAAAATGGTATGTTTAATAACAAAAACAAAAATCTTCATGTTGCAGAATAAAACCTCTTTCCATACAATTTTGATCTATTAGTAGAGATCAGATTATAAGGCCTATTATACCTGTGGAATAAATTCTTTGAATCTCATTTTTCTTTTACACATCTTGGTGCCTAACTTTAATAGAAACAAATATAAACTTACTTGTAGAAAATTTTAAAAATAGCTATATGATCAATATATTAACATTTTTCCCCAGAGTATTTATTTTATTTGCTGACTTAGGCAAGTTACTGTTTTTATTAAGATTATTCTATAATCAGAAAACTTTTCTAATACCTTTATACCTTTTTAAAACTAGTTGAAATTTTATTTCCTTTCTGATACAAGGTAATGGGCTTTAGAATCCTGTAAGCTAGTCAGTTTCCTTCATATACAGCCACATAAATAATGGTTTTTAAAAGGGAAAAGAGAAAAAGGTACACCTTGAAACATTATAGTACATATACAAAGAGTAGAAAGAAAAGAATGAAACATTCTTGGGACATACATATTGAGAAAAACAAAACAGACTGGAAAAATTATTTAAATTTTCAGGCTTGTGAGGTGGCAAGAATAAACAAAATTGTTAAATTTTTCTGCTCCTGAAACACAGTAGCGAATCTGAGGGAAGAGAAGTATTGCTATAGAGGCCACACGGGCCACTTCCCTCCGGAGCCCGAGATGCTGGGCTGATACACCCAGGAGCACCTGTGTAAGTGCCGCCCATTGGCATTTCCATTCATTAACCCTGTTTCTTGGGAATTCATAACTTTGGATTTTAGGTCAATAACTTTTAGAAATATTATACAAATTTTGACAAGCTAAATACCTGTTTTCTGGAAACAAACAAACAAACATTATCATCAGGCCAAGGGAAAAGTACATGTTGTGATTGACAAAGGTTTTTATTTTCCTCAAATCAGGGCACTCATCTTTAAAAATAGGCCCCACATTTGTATTTTTTTTAAACTAAAGAAATTTCAGTAAGACTTCACTTTTGAGTATGTTATTTTTGGCTACTAACTTTTGGATTTAAAATCTATATTAAATAATAATGTAGTATGAACCAGTGAATAACATGTATCAATTGTAGTGTGAACTACCAGTTGAAACCATTTTAACATCAATAGCTTAATATCATTAAAATATTTTTTTGCATGAACCAGAAAAACGACCAAAGACCCATGTTTAAGGTTCGGGTTTTTTTGTCTTTTTTCTTTTTTGGTACAGTGATTCAGAGTTCCTTGCCTCATATTTCCTTTAACTTTATCATAATCCATGATTATCTTTAAATTGTTCCATTGAGTCAAGTTAGTCAATGTTGAATTCTTAATTCTAGCTATATTTTTTCATTTTAATGTTCACTTAATGGGACATTTTATGTATACCAATCTTGAAGAATGACTCTCACAGTATATTTCAGCCTGAGCCTCATTTTTGATATCAAAATACATTTGCTTTATTTATCATAAGAAAAGGATAGTTTTTTTCATGAAGAGACTGTAACAATGCACTTATCAAATTAAAATACTATATACTTGCCCTTCCCAATAACTATTTGCAAACATGAATACAATAGCTTACAAAAAGTTTGCCCTTATAACCTGTGTTCTGTTGCTAAGAATTCAGATGTTATATTGGGAGATAAGAATCCAGAATGATGAATAATACAAAGGCGGATTTTAAAAAAAGAAAAGTTGGACCAGTTAAGAAAAACCTAAGATCTTTCCCCTTCCTTTTTCCTTCTCTGTAATCGCTCTGACCTCATAGGGAACCTTCTTTGATGAAAAAAATCCTCTTTTCACATAATGAGAGGGGGAAAAAGAGCCCTATGTTATAACATAAAATTAACAGAGCCTTGCTCTTCCCTTTGTTGAAAGACTGTATCCACCATGAATGTGAAGAACTGCAGTAAGCCTCCTCAGGGTTATGGTTAAATGTAAGTTACGCCGTACACCTGCCCAAGAAACCTACAATCTAATTGGCAATAAGCAAAGAAATGGCAACGTGGACTTGCCTCAGGGAGCTCTGGTTTGCAAACACATTTTTGCTTACATACTAGTACAGGCTTACCTCCTTCCCGCACCCGGCCCCCACTGCCTTGGGGTGCCATGTTGAGCAGCTTTATGTGAGCAGGTGAACCCGTCTCCTCACTTCCGTGGCCTCCTTACACATGACTGGACCAGGCTGGCCAGCCATGGGGTACACACGTTTTTCTTCCATCAATTGGAGGTCAGTTCACTGAAAGACTTAACTTTCTGATGGTTCTTATCTTTTTAAATCCTCTTCCTTCTTCCCTTCTGCCTTCCAACTTGACCTATTGCCTTAGGAAAAGTTCTCAGGATCACTTTCACTCTCTTCTTGAGATTTCGGGAGGAACAACAGCACAAAAATCAAGTGTTTGTAATGGTCTTAGGTGAATGGAAATTGTGTTTAATAGAAAAATACAGCCTTGGCTGGACCAGGAGATTCTTTTCTTAATCTTCCCAATGTCCATCGCCTTTCTTTATGTGACTGCTCACCTCACAGCATTCCATGTGCTGAATGAACGCCTTCCTCTCTTCCTGTTTTGGTAACATTACTTTTTTTTTTCAGCCACTTTTCAACTGTGTTATGGAATAAGCAGAATTTTATGATCTGACCTAAGAAGATAACCACCATGTGTAATTGTTTTCTGAGGAAAAATGTTATAGATTCCACACGATCACTTGACCAATGTACTTGGAACGTAGCTGTTTGAAAGTTGAGATGGTTTATAAGAAACATTATGAGGCAATGGTGTGACTGATTTTGTCAAATAGCACCAGCAAGTGCCATTGGGTTTAGGGGAAGAAGTGATCAGTGAGTTAGAGAGCTTTGGGAAGGTTCAGCCGAGGCAGTGAGGCTGGCTAGGTCTTAAAAATGGAGTGGCATTTAGAAGAAAAGGGAGTTTCTAGGCATGGGAGAAGGGAGAATATATTGTTCTCAGCTGAAGCTATCTCTTAAAAATGTTTTTAAAATACGTTTGTACAGAAAGCAACATGGGCCACACACCAGAACGTGATGTGTCCCCTGCCCCTCCTTGCCCTTAGTTCTCTTTCCTCTCATACAATCTGTCTCTCCAAAGGCCCTTCCCACACCTCCACTTCAATGGCCCATGGTGGTTTAGAGGAAGACGAATGGTTGAGACATGGATGGGAACATGCTGCACTTGGAAACAGTGTAGAGGCAGGAAAAGAAAGATTGGGACCCACTGAAGAAGATACCAGGGGGAAAATCAGGAAATCATTGGTTTTACTTGCCTGCTTGTAGGCCAATTTTAGATATTTCCTTGGGTATTTTAGTTATTTTAGTTATATTTAGGTTCTAAAATGAGTCTTTTCAGACTTATAGTCAAACTGGCTAAAGAATGTTGAACTCCATTATTATCTATTTACTAGTTAAGTGATTGTGAGTTGAAGTGATGCTAAAATTTCTGATCTCCCCTCATGTTTGTCTTTCTCTGGAGTCAGTTTTATGTACATAGTCTCTTCTGCATATAATTCCTAGCTAATTCAGTAAATATGTACACCGAAGACCCCCAAGCCCTCAGAACTCAAATATGGGATTATTACAACTGACTCGAACCTTTTATTTTTCTGGAGCAGATTAAGATGAGAGGATTCTGCCTTTAGGTTCTTCGATGACAAAAGCATTGGTTTCTTATCTACAACCTTGAGGGCCAGAGACAACAAAGATCCAGATTTATTTTATTTATTCATGCTTTTATTTATTTTTGGAGACAGAGTCTCACTCTGTTGCCCTGGCTAGAGACGGAGTGGCATCATCATAGCTCACAGCAATCTCAAACTCCTGGGCTCAAGTGATCCCCCTGCCTCAGCCTCCCGAGTAGCTGGGACTACAGGTGTGCACCACCATTCCTGGCTAATTTTTCTATTTTTTGTAGAGAATAGGTCTTGCTCTTACTCAGTCTGGTCTCAAACTCCTGGGCTCAAGCAATCCTCCTGCTAAGAGTTCTAGGATTACAGGCATGAACCACTGCACCCAGCCAAGATCCAGATTTAAATCTAGAAAAGTTTTTATCCTGAGATCTAGAGATATTTAGAAAACCTAACCAGTAGATAATTCTGCCAGTAGACTCAGTTGTTTCAGGTCCTGGAGACTGCAGATGCTACATGGGCGCTTGGAGAGAACAGGGAAACCTCACCTTCACCCTGCTCATTATGGGATGGAAGGAGAGGGGAAGCTTACCAAGGAGAAAGTATCAAAATCTAGTGGGGGAGGGAGGTAGAGGAGATCAGCTTTCTCAAACTGTACCGAACCAAGATTCTGATTTTCCCTCCTAGAAAAGCATCTTCTCACCCCATGTAAGAACATTTTTCTCTTTTTGTTAGCGATAGGATGAATGAGGAGTCTTGTTTTATGTTAGAGTCAACCATCTCCATGGATAACCTTAAGGACTTAAGACCATGGCCTACAAAAAGAAAAATGTTAAATTCTGCCTCTGCAAAGTGGTTAAAAAAGATTGTATGAAAGTAGGCCCCTCCGCCTAAATTTAAAGCCCATTTCTGATGAGTTCATTTTTTTTATGCTTATTTCTCTTTGTCAATAAACCGTGTATAAAATTAGGAGCGGCAACCAAGGGTAAAGTGGGAGCTCAGACGTGCGGACAAGGGGAGGTACCATGGAAGTTTGGGGGAACCAAGCATCCTGCAACTTAAGGTTTGATTTCTGAGCCTTAACAGACGGAGCCAGTGCGAGAGGCCTCTTGCTGGCATCACACAGAACTGCTCATCACTCAAGGG